TCCCATGTTATTCTTATGGAGAATATTGTAAAATGTTGTAGTTTGCTTCTTTATGGATATATTTTGATAAAACTTGGCAAATTTATTTTATACTAAGCTAATAATATTTTACTAAAAACACAGTTTATTAGTTTCCCTGTAGCAGCAAACCTAGGTACTCGTTAAAACTAATCTTATTAAAATAGATTTACTTGAAAATCAATTCCGGCAAATGGAAATTCGCTTAGACGGCAGGTTTGCTGCGGCAGGGGTATTATAGTTTTTGATTACGTTCAGGCCTCTACGTCGTTCAAACACACAACCCTGATCGTAGTACAATATTAAAGTTAACACAATGAGTGTTAACGAATCAGTATAGCGTGTCATGATCTATAAAGTATTTAGAAAACAAATAAACAACTAAATATGTGTTATTAACACAATACGTTGTTTACCTTACAAATTAGACCTAAAGATTATTTTAGTCTTGTTTTGCTATTGAATACGAACAGCTGTTACCGTCATTATTTAGAAATAGTGTATTACTCCGCCAACAGAATAATAAATTAACATTCTGAAATTAATCAAAATGTCGATTAAGGGTAAAAGCCGATGTTATTGTATAGAAAAAATAACATGTGACACGATAATAACACAAAAAAACAAAAAGATTTTGACAAAGATGTACCTAAATAGTAAAATATTTGTATTAATCGGGACTATTTCATCGTCAAATACAGCGAACGAAGGGTAAAGTCAGAAGGATGTAGTCAGAAGGAACGGGGCTTTATGGGGTAAAACAGGTTTTTCCCATTTTGACCCTAAAAACACAAAATTTCACAATTTCTTTCCAAACCATTTTGTAGAGCTTCAAAAAACAAATAATTTAGTATATTGAAGCGTTATTGTGCGCCTGTAATGTCGAGAACTAGCCATCTTCAACTTTTGGACGAGTATTATTGGTAGTCACATACTCGGTTCGTAGAACAAGTATGATCGTCGCCTCAGAGAATTACCTTTCTCAAAGATTGAAATAGGACAAAATGACAGTGAGAAAATATTCGTGAGACATCCGGTGGTCGCCGTTTGGTCGCAAATAGCGGTCGCCACATATTTTTAGCTCGCACATCCATCACAATATACATCCTGAACTCGCAATCCGCCGTACGAGTTTCGAGAAAGGTTTTAATAGACATCGTTAATCTTTAAGTGACGCGAAATTAGTCGTCAAAACACCTGCCTTGCTTCATCGACGACGTCGACAATATGCGAACACTTTCGAGTATAAGCTTGCAAACAAGTTGAACTAATAATAAAATAAACTGAAATGAAAATAAAGTAAATAAAAGTGAAAACATAGCGTTCTACAGTGCAATGGGATGAAAAAAATCTGCAGAATATGCCACATAATTCTTAAATAGTGTTTACAAACTAGACTGTATTTCGATGTACATATATGACGCAATTTTCGCTAGGTTACTGTCTGTATGCGTATCGAGGTTTTTAAGTTTAACTTAACTACAATTTTTGTCAGCACAACAAATATTTTCTACCAACAAAATTACTTATGGTCTATTTCACACTTCTTAATACTAAATTCAGATTTAACAAAATACAGAACGTTCCCAAAGGTTTTAATTTATTTTTTATTTAAAAAGGTTTTTAATAGATTATTTTATTATTAAACTTACAGATACATTTCTGTAAATTTAATGTTTTACAAATTACACTTTCAATGAAAGAGGGTTTCGAGCTTTGTTTACTAAACATGTCACCTTGTTTTGATTAACTATTTAAACACAAATTTCGAAAAGGATTGTTACTAAAGCACGAACACTTACCATAAATTTCGTAACCTAAATTACTAACATCGCGGTTAAATAATCACAGTTGCGTTTATGTACAATGGTCATGAAAATGTAATATTTCACATTATGTACATTTTATATGATATTTTGGAAACATTTCCAAGCAATCCAAAAGTTTTCACAATAAAACTATCACAATTTTTACTCACGCAACTTCAATGTGCAAACATATAGAATATTTATATATATAATATTTGCAAAGAGATTGTTAAAATAAAACAAAAGAAACAAACTGGAAAAATTATATATACAGTTAAAATTATCTTTCAAAAGTTTGGTTTGCATATTGAACTTTGAAGTTAGCTATAATGCTGAAAATCATTTGGTGTGTTGTACAAAAAACCTTTATCACCATAAATTATAATTAGAAATTTTAGCAGTTTTATAAAAAACGTTCTAAAACTGAATTTGAGAGAGAAAGAAATATGAAAACTACTTCGTTTACATCAATATTTTGTATTGAATTTCAGAACTACGTAAATAATATTTCAATAACTATGACATTTATTTCAATACATATATATCTACAAAAAAAAAAAAAAAATTGTGGTAGTTTTAGATAGATGATGTACATTTCTTGAGATATTGGGAAAAGTAAAACACAACTGAAAAATGGGTGTAAAGTGGTATTATCATTTACTATCACCTCTTGTGCTTATAAAACAGTAAAACCCTGCACCCTGTACTTTATTTAATTAGAGAAGTATTCCTATTTCGAAAAACAAAAAAACATAATTAATACCAACCTTTATTTAAATCTACATTTGAAATGTAATAATCATTTACGGCATAAAAAAAATTGGAAGCATTCATAAAAATATAACGATAAATTCAAAACAATTTTTTTAATTATCTAAAATATTTGAGGAATTAAACAAACAGAAAACAAATTACTCTTACATTGTTAAGGGTGTATCTCTGTGGCTAAATGGATCATTGAGTCTCATTGTAAAAAGACATTGGAACTCAAGAATGCCGAGGCACCATCCCAAAAACAAAACATTCATTATCAGCTTGTAATAAATGCTTCTTTAAATCTTTCTTTGATTCCGCTAACTCTTTCTTTACGCGAAGTTAGCTAGTTAGTTACTAGAAGTTACTAAGATTAAGCACTCAAAAATAGAATGGAAAATATTTAATGTTTGAAGTTAAAAGTAACCAGCATGTTCTTTAATATTTTAATTAATAATGTAGTAATGGTTGTAATCATGGATACTGGATGGATAATGAAAACATGCCAGCATATAATACTATGCAGCTAAAATACAGAGTGTGTATAAACTTCGTGGACAACTCTTGTATATTTGTTGATTTGTTCTTAGGTTAAGACAATAAAAAGTACATCATATTATTATGAACATGTGTCTTAAATGCCTGGTTTTCTGTCTGTCTGTATTTACGTGATTGGTATGTATCCATAGATTTTGAACCCCTAAATTGATTGACTTATACTTAGTACATGAGTAGTGACAGATATTACTAATCCTTGTACAAAATATCAGATTTATAATTTGTAAAAATTCAAAATGCAGCCATTAAAATTCTATACCTTAAATATCTTAAACACAAGTGATTGTACTAAAAACATAAAACAATTAATTTTTTTTACAATTTTATCACTAATCCAAAGATGCTTAAGGATTTAAAATCAATTTATAAACAATTAAGTTATTCTGGTTTTTGTGAGCCTGTGTACATGAATTTGACAATGTTTTAATTTGATCCCATTGTTGCATACATACAGAATACCAGCCTATAAAAGCCTACAACTTGTAAGAAAGCATACAAATTCACTAACATGTTCCATGGGAAAACTTAGTAAAGAAAAGTATCAGTATTAGAAAAGAGTACCACTCACCAACTTCTTTTTCCACAAAAACATCAAAAATAAAGGTGAAGTTTCCTTATTCAGATTCTTATTTTCCAGTTTGAGCTAGATACATGTTTCCACTCATGTAAACCCCCATAAAACCAAGTCAACTGTACAAAATTGACTTTGGTAGAAAAACATTGTCATTTGCTATCTTATTCTCTCGATGTTTGAAAACTCCTATATTTTGGAGAGTCAATTCTTTCAATTTTGTACTGTTGGTCCAAAAGTCTTGTGTGTGAACTTCTAGTGATCTAAAACACCTTATTACTGGTTTCAACTTTCAAATGCTTGGCTTATTTTAAACAAAATGTATTTACAACTAAAGAGGAACCAAAATGACAAGTTCCATGTTTATACAGTTTTTTTTTTTCAAAAATACATAGGCGAGTGAGTCAGCGAGAGAATGGTTTTCGACTTAGTATACTCGTAGATAAATTGCCTTGCTTTTAAGTCAGGTGAGTACATGGAATTATGATTTGTCTACTGTATTGAACAAGTGTAGTCAGTGAAAAAAGCTTGAAGAATTATCCTGTTTTCCCACTTTGTTCATTCCATCCAAGTATTTGATTGGGTTTGATGTGATGAGTAGAGAAAGTAGTTCTGAGTAAAAAATAACTTTGAGCACTATTTGGCTCCTTAACTGGGGAGACTGAAATTGTTAATTATGATTGTGGAGCAAATCTATATTAAGTGCAAAATTTATTTGCTGACGCTAACGCTTTTCCAGAATACAGTTCAATATGAATCAACGCTAAGGCATTATCGGGTTATATCTATTCATATAACTGGGTATAATTTTTAGAAATAGGTAGAATGATTTGATTTAAGTAAAGTAAGAGGTGGAAACTGATAAAAAGCCTTCCTCTCGTTTGGTCCACATGTTTGGGTTTGGCCTACTAGATGGCACAGACGGTCACCTGCAAACAACTCATACACTCACACAATTACGTCGCTTTGTCTATAGCTTCGTATCAAACAATTCAAAACCCATTCGTCTATTGCTGTTTAGTCTAGGTTTTATTGCTGATTCCCTCACAGCTGTAGTACTGCACACACAATGTTTGGTTTAGAAACGTAATTCTTTTTCGTTATAATAGTTGATGGTTTGGACAATTTTACGTCTGGGAAGGTATCACCACAGTCCAAGCAGGTTCAGGACCCAGAGTTGTATGAACAGAGGGAGTGACTGTTAGCTAGTGGGTAAAATAACCACCAACTAATTTTAACAATTCATTAAAAACACTCCATAAGTAAGTATGGTTGTAATACGAATGACTCACAGTAAAGGTGTAGAAGCCATCAGGTACAGGTTGTCCACCAAACTTGACACTAAGAGTGTAGTCTCCTGCGTCCTTGACAGTGTAGTAGATACTGAAGGTGCCATCCTCGTTGTCCTCTATGTCAATGTCCACATCACTGAAACACATGTTGAAAGTGCAAATCACTTCATGTAATATAAACCACCAAATTGTTAGTTACATAACGTAATAGTTGTTCATAACTCCAGAATGTTTAAAAGTATCTAAACGAACAAGGATTTGACAAACCAACTGGTATGGGTACGATGCAATCGGTCTACGATATTGAAAGTACTGAAACTAGAGACACAGCAACAAACTGAAAACACTACAGAGATCAAAGCATCCAGCCGGAAAGGCTTTACCCTCAACAGTGTAATATCCCAAATTCCAACAACCCCGGTACAAGAAATGAAACAAAGGAGGAAAGACTTCCCATGATTTCAACAAGTATTACATTATATTCAAAACCTCAACTAGCAGTAAAGTATTTTATCGTCACTATTCAATTTTAATTATCAATACAATTTTAATATTTGTTAAAAACTCATAGATAGAGTGAATACACCTTTTAAAATTAATAATCGTTGACGAATTCTGTTAACATTTACTTATTTCCCAGTACCGGTAAATCTTAATGCAGATTCTCAAGGGTTGTAAGATAAGTCTAACTAGGAAGGAAACATAAAGTAACAAAAGGTTTAAAAGCAGTGAAAGCATTTTGACCGAGTGCCAGATCCATTTAGTATTTGACCAATCACTGGGTGTTAATTGTTTTCTATACTATGTTGCGTTGTTTGGCAGTAGCCACTGTAACGCTATAGTGGCTAATCTGGATGCCTGAATTAGCAAACACATTACATAATGGCACCTCCCTTTGTACAAATCTAATAATAGACAAACAATAGAAAACTATTGGAAATGCCAGCCAAGTTTCACACGCTCTTCGTAGGAGTTTTGGGCAATGTGAGAAATTGAGAGTTAAACTATGAAAAAGTAAGACAATATATGTTTACATATTACCTTCCACTGCTGTCAATAATCTGCTTTGTAACAAGATAGAAACCTTAATATGGAATAAATTATTTCTTATAAAAAAATTTAAATTTTTAATAGTTTGAACAGAGAATTCAAGAGTTATATATGGTAGAGGAATAACTTTGACATTTATTTTTTTTATTATTTCTTTTTCATCTGTATTTTTATATTATAGTCTGTTTATTATTATAACAACAACCCAATAACTTATAACCCAATAAGTAGTTAAAATAATTTAACTTTTACCTACCTTGTGTGTAAAGCTAAATTTAAACAACTAAATTTTTGAAATACCCAAACCAGATCAATATTTTTTTTACAGAACTCCCTATAGTTATGAGCCACATTAATATATTTGCTATCAAAAGATTTTTAACTCAAACCTCATGTGAGGCAGCTGCAATTACATTGGTCAATGAATAATAAATTCTATTTTCTCTGAAAAAATATGTTTCTTAATAAAAATGTAGCAAAATTAAATCAATATTTGTCTAAAAGCGTAAATTTTGGGTCATAATTTTTTTCTGTCAACCTCTAGGGGTTATATCGCTGAGGAATTGTGTTGCTTATTATATGTTTATCTATATTACTATAAAATTTAACAATGTTATAGCATGACAACAATCGTAAATCTCTGCATAGTGAACAAACAGAACTGTTTGTATTTTCTTTAGTTATTTTATAAATAACTCTATGCTCGATGCATTTAAGCATATTAAAAGCCCCAATATTCAATTTAAAACATTTTATATAAGTATTTCTTAATTGTGTGAATAGTGTCAGTCACAATTATTTTCAAACATATTTTTCAATGAATATCACAATAAACTTTTTGAAATATCCAACATACTCTCTTTGAGTTTAGCAGTTTTTTTATTCATGCCATTTACTGTTTGCACATACTTTCGTATTAAAGTACTTTCACATTTGATATTAAACTGCTTCATTTTGAGGTTTCAAACAAAATTAATGGTCTTTATTTAATGGTTAAAAATCTTTATAAGCGTATTTAAAATTTGATTGCAAATCAAGATCATGGCTATGCATCCAAGTTCTTTTTATCTGTGTTTTTGTATACATATGTGTTTGTCCAAAGCTTGTGTAAATTTTATCAACTTGACAATATTTCAAGTAAGAGATGAAAAAGTTACAGTTTAGGTTAACCTAGGAGAAAAGGACGCTGAAACCTAAACATTGAAACCTAGGTCTCCAAAGTAAATAAATCTGATTGTAAGGTAAGCCGACTTAGATTTTAACAACGTATTTAAAAAAGAAAACTAAATTTTGATAAAAGTTTGATTGATATCCTTTATAATTTCAACCTTTTACAGCTATTGCTGTTAGCTGCTGCAGTTAAGCTGTTTAAAATACTTTAAAGGTCAGTAAATGTGTGAGTAAATATTTATCCAATGCATTTAAACAACATTTATTTTCATCTGAGGTGTTTTTTTTCATAATAAGTGGTTGAAAAAAAAACCTAACCTAACCTAAAAAAAACTCATTCAATTGTCTATTCCATAATTTTTATAGAAAGAATAGCAGTGTCAAATTCATTATGTTTAAAGCTTGGTCATAACTCGTAAGCAAACTAAGAGTCAACGTAAGGTTGATCGTCTAACTTTAGAAAAACAATTCATGAAAACAATTTCAGTGGGAAGATGCCAGGTCATTTATGATCTCATAGTGTTTGTTCGTACTGTAATTAGTTTTGAAGTTTATTATTTGTGACAACACAAAGAAAGGCCTTCGATATGGATGAAGGGGCGTTGGCGTGGATATTATCCCAGCAGATACAATTGTACATTCTATAATTGTTTGAGACGTTATGTTACGTCAGTGTTATCAAATATGGTTCAGTTTGAAAAGGATTTGTAGAAAGACTAAAAAAGATAGGTGACCTCTATGGAAGTGGGTGTCTTGTAATTATAGTATTATTATTATACTATAACTGATTTATTTTATAAATAATATTGAAAATATGTGTATATATGACTCATCAGAAATCCAATTTATTTTAAGAATCCAACTACAGCATCTGTTAAAATTACGAGTACCTAACTAGATGAAATTAGCTGAAAATGAGTTTATAAAAACAAATTTGAACCATCATGATCGGACTAGGGTAACTAGTTTTATGGGGAAATGATATGAGGCAAACGCATAAAATAAAACCATATTCAGCTTATTGTCAATACAATTTTTATCGGCAAAAAGTGTCTGAATAATCAGCTGATTATCTACGGGGAATTTGTACAATGAATAGGTGGATTTAACATGCTACTTTAGTTCCAATGGAAAAACCCTGTTACAAATAAATGTTTTTAAACTTTATAACAAAAAATCAAAAGTAGGGATTATGAGAATTCTATAAAATTGAATATTAATATACCAAGAGACCAATCACAAAAGTTATTAATATCTAGATATATAGGGGGCAAACATTGCTCTGTAGAATAAAAAAGCAGGAGTTTTGCTGAGCACGCTGGTCTGCTGTGACGAGGGTATTTTTATGATAATAAAGTTTTCTAGCTGCTATGCAAGAGCCAATCTCTGATTATGCCAAGTTGGCTACACTTCAACATAGCCTCTTGTTAAATGATCTGAAGCTAAAAACCCAATAGCTCCAACTGAGAACCAGCCTAACACCTGCCTGACCTTCCGACCTGAACACATCTAATGCCTTCACCTGTAGAGCATTAATTGTCACTGTAGCATAGAGAAGTTGAATTAATAGTACAGATGCACCTAAGGTCACATGAGAATAGTTGTATTGAGTTTTATTTTTTCATTTTTTCATGTATGTTTTTTTAAGAGGTTGACAGCCTTGTATCCAACAAAGCAAGGGTTGAGCCGGTAGACCTACAGTACAAGGGTGAACTGTACGGATAAAAAGTAGCGGCATTGGCTAGGATCCGAACCCACGACATCCGTCCTTGGGCTTTTGGGCCCTTGACAGTTCAGGCCTTGGACCTGAAGTCCGTGACGTAACCAACTAAGCCGCCGACTCACCGAGACTTATCCAATACATGAAGAAAATTTTAGATAAAAGTAAAATAAAATATTATCAGTTGGTATTAGTTGTTAATAGATAATATAAGATTTTAAATTAGGTGTTATTAATCTTGGGAAAACCAACAATACCTCCCAATTAGACGAAGTATCGATATGTTTTTTATGCCATATCTTCATCTTAGGCAGCTGGGATTACTCCAGGCTAGGCCTACAAGATTGCGGCACCATCACATTATCGATTAGTGGGACTTGAACCCAAGACTTCAGGGATAGATGCCCTGCACTCAACCACTAGACCAGATCACTCCCGTAATTAAATTTAGTACCATTTCACTAATCTGGCACTATATTGGACATAGTAGTGCTAAATCATACACAAATTTAAAACCGCCAAACTAATGAAAGTTAAAAAAAAAACTGTTGTAAAAAATTATAATAAATGAAAAACTCAATATATTTATATACTCAATATCAGTGCCTAAAATATACTTAAACTACTAGGATGAAATGTACATATACATATCTATTATCATAATTATAATGACAAATAACTTGTAACAACATATTTTAATTTGTTACCAATTAGCAGCATTGTTATCTTGTATATTAGAGGGAATGGGCATTGGCGGAAGTCAGGTGGCATGGAAGATTTATGAATGGATAGTTTGTTATTCTGATGAATTGGTTGGTGCCTGTGGTCAGCTGTGACCGTCCTCACTGGACATGAATGAATTTGTATTTCTCAATTTTTCATTTACCTCAAAACAAATTTTGCTGCCCAGAAACCATGATAAATACAGAACGGATGACACAAAGAGTCTAGTGCCACATTCCTACAGTCTAACTTTAAGAGCGTAAACAGTTTCAATAGTTAATATTCGTGAAGAAAGATAAATCAATACAGAAATTTGTTATCTTACGTATTGAGATTTTAAAAGTTAATGCATAAATGTATAACGAGTACGGTTCTACACCAAACATGAAGTTTGAACCAACATGTTATTCAGAATTCAAATCACATCCCTACAATAATATAAACAATACTAACAACCTTTAGATAACTATAAG